GTTGGAGCAACAAAATTAAAATTTGCCTCTTAACCCTCCACGAGGCACATAAGTTTATAAGAAATGGCCTCGATTTGACTCCGGAATCCATCTTTTTTTCGCGATTTTCGACTGGGTTTTGGACATTGCTATGAAACACGATAAGCGTATGAAATTTGAAGCAATCGACTTCATATTTGGCACATACATACAGCTTTGCCCTGTGCGGAGCCTATTGAAAATGGTGGGGCTGGGCGGTCGGGAAATATTTTTAAAAAATTAAAAATTGCGTGAGAGTCTACAAAACAAGATCATTTTTTCGAAATCCGTTTACGAGACAAAAAAATTCTTTTATAATTGTGAATTTTTCAAAAATATACAGGGTGCGCCGCAAATTCGGAAGAATTGAAAAATGGTTTCCCCTATTATTGAAAATTGGCTCTGAAAGACTATGATTCAGATGTCACTTTCTTTTACATTGCGATATAGCCCGCATAGACTGCAAAAACTTTTGTATTTAAGCTTTTCACCTATTGTACAGGGTGTTCCCGAAATTCCGTGCTAAATGAGAAATGTGTTAAGTGTCCTAAATTTGCAGATATCAACTTCACATTTAGCAGCGAAGCAAAGGTCCGTGTCCACATTTAAAAAAAAAAATAATTTTTTTTGGTTATTTTGATGTCCAGAAAAAAATATTTCCTCAAAAACTATTAACTTGATCGACAAAATTCTTGAAATAACAAACGCGGAATATCTGGTACTATAACTTTAATTTTAGGCATTTTTTCGATAATTTACAGGGTTTTTCAATTCTAAAAAACCCTGAAAATTCTTCTTTTCCAGAGTAAATTATTTACCGTAAATCAAAAATTTGTAGAATATATGGCTAATTGGTTTAAACGCTATTATAGGCCCCATCAAGAGCTACAATTGTTGTATTTACGGTTTTCGTGTATCACATTGGTCGAGATATTTGAAAAAATCCAAATGAAAATTACCATTTCTCGCCCTCCACGTTCCGCATGGTTTCAGAAAACAAGTATTTTCTTAGAAACCACTTACTCTACTGGAAAAAATCATACCAGCAAACGTAGGAGCTCCAGGGCTATAACCTCTATATATACAAAGTGTGTCGTTTTTGGGCAAAAAAATCTAAAATATTCTATGAATTTCTGTTTTTGTGGGTAAATTATCGGAGATAAGTGAAAAACTGTTAAAGATGCGATAATTTGATTTGAACAGTATCGTAAACCGTGTTGAGAGAGATTTCCAGCTTTCGTCTATCATACAGGGTGCTCGAGATATTTGAAAAATATCAATGGAAATCGCTATTATTTGTAAGAAATTTTAACATTTATCAAACTTTGAAGTTCAGCGAGACGTGCAAAACGGATTACACAGCTTGTATGCATAATAAAATTACATCGATTTTGCGTAAAATCCATTGTGGTCCGCAGGAGCACGATAGAAAAACAATGCGTTTCAATACAACAAGAAACCGCGAAGCGGCTTCTTTTCAAAATACAAAGCTACTTCTCGCTACAAAGTTGCCCCACCCAGCTACGATTTTTCGAAAGCGATCTTGTATTTTCTTTTTCGACTTCTCTCACTCTCGCTGCCAGATGCGTAAAAGAAAAAACATAACTTATTTGTCTTTTATATTTGAAAATAACCCATTGGCCTCCAAATAAATTGGTGCTATTAACATTTTCCACTATGTATTTCGTAAATAATAATCACAAGCTCAAATATCAAATTGATGTATTATTTTTTAAATGCAAAAAATAGTCCACAACAACACTGGATTAGTTGAGAACAGAAGAAAGAGAAGTCTGTAGTAAAGTACTCAACATTTTTTTTGGATTTGTGGAGTAGGTACTACCGAGTTTAGTTACTTTTATAATATTTCTTGGTTTCTGATTTTCTCATAAACAAAAATCTGATATACTATATAATATATATAGAATATAATTATGCGATAGCATGAGGATACCGGAAACCATAGGAGGTAACAACAGAGTCGGTTAAATTAGGATAGCTTTAATTAATTTAGTGACAAACTTAAATTTGCCCACAAAATGATTCCAGCGTGAATAATTTCTGAGAAATTCTAGAAAATATAAAATGTGGGATTTTCTATTTTTGTTTTCATTTGTTTTCAAGATACACCACATTAAATTTTATTATGAGCACCATATTGAATATTTTCATTATTAAATGAAATTAAAATTAAAATGATTTTAAATGATGTATTACGTGATGCATTTATCACATATAGCTATAAGATAATATAGTGGCCCTACTACTGTAAAAAGTGATGCGCCGCAGGTGGCTATGACGTTTTCGTAGAGAAGGTGTGGATTTTTTGGGCATACGTCACCCTCATCTAACCGAATTGTCACATTGCCGTAATTTTTCTGTCTATGACATTGTTGTTTTTGGTGGTTATGATTCTCTCTTTTTGGTTATTTACATATAAATCCAAATTGCAATAAAATATAGCTAAATTATTGTTCAACTCACACATATCTATCTATCTCACTAATATCTAAAGCCCGGTAGAGACAATGCAATTTCTACATGTATTTTTAGCATTTGACAATTGCTGTTAAATATTTTTAACGGGGAATTTTTTGCGGTACCCGCCGTGCAATTTTTGCTAGCAAAATGTTTTTTAAATTTTGAGACAATAAACTACACTTTTTAGGGTTTGGTAATTTTAATTCTGTTATATGGTTTATTGACTTGTTTTATATTAGTTTTTAATTTTCTTGGTTACATTTTCCAATACCTACACTTTTTTAATGAAATTGTCAATTGGTACTTTTCATAATTATGTATTTGAGAGGCGAAACTTTCTGCAATTACTAGACTTGCGATGAAAGAATGGGCGTTGAGTCTATATTAGGTGCTTTAAGAGTCATATTTCGTGAATTCGAACTTTTTACATTTACATTTTCAATGGAGGTTAAACAATGAGTTTATAAAAACAAACTGTTTGCGCCAATTTATGGGCACAAATTTTGGAAAAAATAGCTGGTATCGTGTCTATAGGGCCTAAAGAACCAAAACGCCAAACTGCTTACAGAATTATATTAAAAACGCCGATCAGTATGCTGTAATTCAGCATAATATTAACCATGCACTTGTCGCTAATTTCTTTTAACGATGCTTTTCACAATTTAATTCCTTTTTTGCCTAAAAATGTAATAGGATTTCGACATATTTTGAGAAAATACTGCCGTAAAAATGCAGCATCCAAACATTGACGACCTGCCATGTTGGTTGTTGAAAGTCGCAAGGCCTTAAGGGTCGAACATCAGAATTTATAATTAGAACTGTCATTGCTTAAAAACGAAATTTCAAATCTCGCCCATGCCCATATTGAACAGACCTTCTCAAAATTTTGTTAGATTGTTGCTTCACGAGTTCCTGTACTATAAGCATAGGCAGGGCCTCTATATGATTTATTATTATTCTTAGAGACACAAAAGCAAGCAAAAACACAAGTTTTGTCAGTCGATTGATTGCATATGGAAAAGTCAATGACGTAATATATTTAAACAAATTTTCTTTAAAATGTGCTATCCTTTTTGACGTGCCACTTGCTTGTCCTATGTTTCTAACCAGTGCAGTATAGTCTTCTATTACAGCTAACAGCATAATTTATTTCTTTTAATAACTGTTTTTTTTAATCTAACCATCCTTCAATAAATTGGCAACCAGTCTACCAAATATTCTTATCTGGCGGTAATACATTCAAGATAATTATTTAAATACATCTGCTCAGCTTGTCGAATGTTGCACAGGGTGTAACACTTTAACATGTCGAATATATTCTCAAAAGAAAATTGTCTTCCATTTTTAAACAAATTAAAAGGCAACCCACCTAATTAAACTAACTGAAGTTAAACTGTCAATAATTATAGCAATAATTGAAATCTAAAAACTGTTAATTTGATTTGACGGTCAATACTTTTGTTTTTCGGAATTTCTCTTGAGAGCGATTATATCTCACTACTTCTAACTCTAAATGACGATAAATACTTCATCTGATTATTGAAGAGCATGTTTTATGCTTTGTCTAATAACGGAAATATTCAATATGGCGCCGATACAAAAATTAATAATCTATGGTGTATCTTAAAAGCAAATTAAACAATTGGTGTCGTCAGATTTTCTTACAAAATTTTTCAAATAATGTACTAATCTCAAGATCCAGTTTGGCTTCACAGATAACTTTTTATATTTTCTCGAATTTCTGAGGAACGATTCGCGCTGGAATCAGTTTGCGGTCAAATTTCAGTTTCTAGTAAAACTTTCCTAATTTAACTAACCCTGTATTTTCTATGGTTTCCAATATCCCCATGCGACCCGATCTTTGGATTGGAAACACTGTATATATAAAAATTACGCAATATAGGAAACAAGGTCATTAGAAAATATAAATTGCCTCTGTATCTATCCATGTACGATTATATATAGAAATATTCTTTATTTTTGATGTTACCATATGCGATTGAATTGATGCCACCATTATTCAAATTGAATAGGCTGCAATTTTTTCCATATTTATAAATCATTCGTAAAGAAATAATTATCTGTTTTTTGTGGAGACTTTTTTCCTTAGAATGTTATTTTGTTCTCTTGAATCATTTAATCAAGCTTTAGAAAAATGCTCAATATACTACTGATTACGGATATTGGAAGTTATTAAATCAAAATTTGCGATTTTGATTATTTGTTGTCATTTGCACATAACGAATTTACCTCTTTAATATTAGATTTATTCATAATTGCTTCAATCGTGGAAACAATTTCAAACTATTGTGGATATTGCTATATATAACAAATGGTTGATGACTGACTTACAAAAAATCCTTTTCAGTCTCAACCCTTATCTATATCCCGATATTTTTAAAACCGTACATTGCATAAGTTAAATCGAAGTTTCGATTGTCTCAGTTTTCAAACAATCCGAATTGCAACAATAAAATCGAACTTTATGGAAAATGACTTACCATTACATTGAAATAATAGCAGAATATAGAGCAGATGTGGTTGAACCGAAACACTGCTAAAAGTTTGTCGAATATGCATGATTGCCCAGTTCAATCTACTCCAGCTATATGTGCCGTGACTTCCATGGTCCTGGAAAAGACAGAATAAACTTTCCTTCTTCCAATAATTAAGTTTAACGGATAGGACACGTTTATTTTCTGCTTGAAACCTAATTATTTATAAAACATGCATACTGAAATAATTATAAAGCAATTAAAATGCGGATACTGAGATGATTCGAACAAAATCCAGTTAAAACAACAAATTAAATGCGGGCAAATTTAATTTATGCAAAACTTCTGATTCTTCGGCTTTTAAACGAAAAAGTCAAATTAAAATTGAATTGGAATTTAATTGATGGTGGCGTTATTATTTTTTTATTTAAGGAAGAACTGACGAAATCGGTTGATGTTTTGTAAAAGGGCGGCGATATCTGATGAAATTATAAATGTTCGCTGCAATTTTTGGGCGGAATGGCCGAAAAAAAAACCATTGAACTTTTAAGGGACCGCCATTAAAAATTTAGTATGCGCCAGAAAACGTCAAGCGGCCGAAATATAGTGAAGCTGATAAAGAACACGCCTGTCACTCAGACTTCTCAATTACAATACTTTCCCAATTTCCGTATAGAGGCTGATGTGACATTTCATCAGTATGTCACGTTGGAGTAAATTAACAAAGCAACGTTCTCTGAAAATACAATCTTTCATGGTCCTTTAAGCGAGACCAGAGCCGCATTGCCTTTTCGAAACCAAGTAAACTTTAATCGGATATCATAGAAACATTTAATTTAAAAAATGCATTTCTCAACAACTGCCACAAATGCTGTACTAAGTTTTTACTAAAACGTGATGTGACATTTCATTAATGTGTCACGTTACAGATTATAATTTTGAGAACGAACGAACGTCCACGAGGACCTATTTTAACTTCTTCCATAATTAAAGGGTTTCCTTGGGATCAGACCTCACGGTTTTGATAATAGTGGTGGCTTGGTGACGCGGAGCAGATGAAAGCCTGTAACTCATATAACACACAAATGGCTGTTTCCCCTTTCGCTAAACATTCAGTGTTTTCTCTATCCACTTGCATCACTGTCGGTCACAGTTTGACTATATTAAAAACTGAGAATTTATCTAGTGTGTATTCACAACATTGTGTTTTTCTTCTAGTAGAAAAAAAAAGATGGCAAATAGTTTGTAAGAGCTCCTTATCGGGATTACATTTTATTTAGGGAATATTAAATGTCGGGTCTGTTTTTTTTAAAGTTCTTGTCTGTCTGTGTATTTGTTCATTCTATGATTGTTTATATACTCAAATAAAGAAAACTGAACTTCTACTTAATGAAAATCCATTTAGCACGTTAAATAAGCAATTCTATGTCTGTCTCTTTATCAAATGTAATTATTTAACACTACATGCTGCTATATATAATAGCGTTTTTTCCAGGTATTTAATTTTTAAAAAGGTGCATTATTTTCTACTTATTAATGCCTCATGAAATACTTCAAAATTGTTCTTTTTTTCTGAATTTAAGTGAGTAGGGTAATTATATACCAAACTGTTATTGACACGTTTTTCATAGGGTCAAATTTTAGGACCTCACTTTTTTGTTTTTTAACTGTTTTCTAATTGTATTTTCACTTTTATAAGCACTTCGACAAAAGCTTTGGTACTGTGTTCTCCTATGTATTTTTCAGTTCAGTAAGTTCAGGGTTATTTGATACTGTTTTTTATGTATTATTTTGTGCATAATACCTAACCTTACTATCCAGAATGTCTTGTCAGCAAGCGAAGCACTCAAAAACAAAATTACCGCCGGTCCTGATAGCATACCAAGTTTTATCGTGAGAGACTGTTCCCACGCACTGCGTACTCCTTTATGTCACGTTTTTAACCTGATACTTGAAACGGGTGTTTATCCAGAGCCTTGGAAATATGTCATAGTTTATTCTATTCTCAAAAAACGTGATCCTTCTGTAGTTGAAAACTACCGACCTATTTCGATCTTGTGCAATTTTTCTAAAATATTCGGGATTATATTAAATAAATTTATTACTGCTCAAATTAGAAATAAACTATCTACGCAACAACATGGTCTTCGTATGTCTTCGTATGTCTGTGACTCTCTGAACAAACAAGGTCAAGTTGACGTTATATATACCGACTTCCACAAATCATTTGACCAGATAGATCATCAATTACTGACTGAAAAAGCATCTCATAAATTTGGTTTCTCTGATTCGCTCATTACAGTATTGAGGTCCTATGTGGTGAAACGTCGAAAGTTTGTTGAGATTGAGGGGTTTAGATCAGTTCCTTTTTTTCCAGCTGGCGTGCCTCAAGGTTCAAACCTTGGACTTCTTCTTTTCAATATATTTATACACGATCTCATATCTTTGATCATCTGCAACAAGCTTGCCTATGCGGATGACCTAAAACTATATGAATGCATTGAAACTGGCACGAACAGCATGAATCTCCAGGACAACATCAATATTCTCAGTCAGTGGTGTGCTAAAAGTAAATTACATCTTAACGTCAGCAAGTGTAATATGGTTTCTTACCACCGACAAAAACTCCTAAAGTCTTTAATTAGAATATGGATGGTACTGTCCTGACTAGACTTGCCACTGTGAAGGATCTGGGGATTTTATTTGACCAGTCGTTCTCTTTTGTACCTCACATTACTAAAATGGTTTCTAGTTCAATGCAAATTTCAGAATTCGTAATAAAAATTGCAGGCATTTTTGTAGCTCAGCGACTGTTAAATTGTTATTTAACTGTTACGTTAGGACCAAGCTTGACTATGGCTCGCTGATATGGTCACCAATTTATGACTGCCACACTCAGTCGATTGAGAGTGTGCAGAGAAGGTTACTAAAGTATCTAATGTTCAGGGAGGACGGTTCCTATCCTGAGAGCGGAGCTGATCACGATCTTCTGCTAAGAAGGTTCGCTATACTGCCCCTGAGCTTGCGCAGAGACTTGCAATCTGTTTCATTTCTCTATAAGTTAATTCATTACGGAGTCGATTGTCCGTTTCTTCTGGAACAATTACGCTTTCATGTGCCGCGGCTGGAAGGAAGACATCAAATCAACATTCTTACTGCAGATACCCAGGTCCAATATCCATTTTCAAAACCCTATTACAAACAACAAACAATCATCGCACTTCGATTTATATTATGATGGTCTCCAGGCCATACTTCAGCAATTTCGATGGGCGTCGGGTTATCCGTACCGATAAGTCTTATCCTTTTCTTTCTCATTCCTTCCTTCTTCATTTTTTTAGTTATAAGATTAGTAGATTTAAGATTAGTTTCTACGTCCCCTAGTATATATATTGGATTATTTATATTTAGTATTTAGTAATTGGGTAATGATACCTGTTGGATATAAAGTGCTATTATTATTATTATTATTATTATAGTTCAAAAAAGTGCGTAGTTGTCAGTTCTAATGAAGCAAGCAAAAACGTCATCTACATATCAATACCACCAAAGGAAATTTTTACCCAATGGATGTTGTTATATTCGATAGAGACACGGTGTTATCGAAACAACTGTCACAGAGTAAATAAACATATTCTCGTAAAAATCTGAACAAATTTGTGTACTTATTTAAGGTGTCAAATATTTTTCCTTGTATTCCTGTATCATCAAGGGTTTGGTTGTTAGTGCCCGGATCAATTTTAAATTGTTTTGATTGTTGGAAAACCAAAATATTTTTGTTTTTGTCCGATAAGGCACTGAGCGCAATTTTTCGTCCGCCTTTAAGCGAACCCAGCACAATATTGCCTTTTTTAATTCAATCGTTCTTCGCTAGTGATATATCTGAAGTTCTCAACACGCAAATATAAAATTAGTGTTGTCTTCTGATTAAACTCGGAGGTAAATTAATGACTTCCAACTATTTCGATCGATTTTCTTTAGGGGATAACTTAAGGCTCTTAACAATTTTTTGATAATTTGTCACTGCCTGAAATGAAGTCAACCTCGGCCTGTCGTTCAATAATAATTATTGCTCAGTAGGTATTTTTCGTATTAAAACGTCTCTTATATTATTCTTACTAAACGCAGGTGTGTGCTGCTATTTAACCCAGAACAATTGTGGTGCAATTGCAAAGTGCCTGCGAATTATTCCACATGAAACTATAAAATTATGAGTTCTCCATCTGCCTTGCGTGAAAGTCCGGTGTAAAATTATTAAATTTTATTACGCTTTCTGAGAATTTACGTTACTGAGTATTTCTACCCTGTAGTTGAAAACTAAGTTAATACGTTTTTATAGCTAACTATATATTTTGCAAAAATGAAAATAAGCATGACAAAGTCATGCTCCCCAATTATGTTAAAAAAGCACCTATAGTTTTTAAGCGTACCTTTTAGGGAAAATAGACAAAATTGCTGATAAAAACTGAACTTGAATATACAACTTATACCTTTATTTGCAAAAACTCCACCTCTTGAATTGACGTCCTTTGTAAAGCATCTAAAAATGAGTCAGCAAAGCAAATGACGAGCCTTTTAAAAATCAAAGTCATACAAAGATAAGTAACAACACGTTGGAATTTATAAAATAAAATTTAAGATATCTGATCCTAATTCTAATATTCTTTCTAATCAAACAATACTCGCCCGAAAACTATTATTCTGCAGAGGGGCAGAATTTTGCAATATTTCGTTCTTTCGACATGGAAATGGCTCGAATTCATGGGAAACGAAACTGACGTGGTAAAGTGACGCTTCCCGCACGCTAGATCGGTGGGTAATTAGGTATTTTACAGACGGGAGTAGAAAAATATATTAGATACCTACGTATAGGTTAGTATCTTCTGCAAAATTAGTGAGTTAATTAGTTACTAGAAGTTTAAAAGTACGTATTATTTAATAATATTAATAATTATTTTCGATTTGATAGTTTAGAGGTCCTACATTTTGTGCCAATATTCGTAACTACGAGCTTAGTGGGATCCAGGTGATTATTTGTGTGCAGAAAATCACCGCCAAATATTATTTACTGTTGTTTAAAAATCTTTGCTTTTGCAAATAATTAAATAAAACAAACAATAAATTATAGATAGATAG